CTCTTCTCCCTGTCTGCCTACGGTTTACCGGGCAGTTCTGTTTGTGACGATATATATATTGTTTTCCATCTGGTGTGGGTGAGTGATAGTCTACTTTGATTTTGGTTAAGGTAGATTATCATTTACAGTGTAATCAGTGAGGGGATTCTGCAGACTGTTGAGGATTCAGCCTTCTGACGAGTTGGTGAAACTCCGACGAAACAGTTTGTCACAGCCCCTCGTTTGTTGTCCTCTTCTCTCTCTCTGCCTACGGTTTACCGGGCAGTTCTGTTTGTGATGATATATATATTGTCACAGAACTATTGACTAAGAGCGTAAGCACGTGAAGTAGAAGAAGAAATAAGATGAGCGAAGAAAAGAAAAATGAAAGGACAGACAAACTAGAATGACACAAAACAGTGTCCTCTTCTTCTTTGTTTCACTGTATTCTTATTTCTTTCAGTGTTTTACAAAAAAAAAATACACTGAACAAAGGATAAAAATAAAAAACAAAGACACGTTGAAATCATTCAGTTTCTCAGTCTTCTTAACTCCTCCTCCATCGGGCCTCTAACGTACAAGGCTCGCCACGTTGATGAAGTTGAGTGCGAGCTGCCTATATATACATACATGATATATATATATTGTCACAGCCCCTCATTTGTTGTCCTTTTCTCTCTCTCTGCCTACGGTTTACCGGGCAGTTCTGTTTGTGACCATATATATATATCCTCCTGATGAGTCGGTGAAACTCTGACGAAGCAGTTTGTCACAGCCCCTCGTTTGTTGTCCTCTTCTCCCTCTCTCTGCCTCTACGGTTTACCGGGCAGCTCTGTTTGACGATATATATATGATTATATACTATATAGTATATTATGTATATATATATTATATATAATATATATTATATAATATATAATATTATTTTATATATATTGCAAGGAACCTGACTGTTCACAGCTTGCTCGAGTGCATCACACCGCATGCATACATGTCATCACACGTACAAAGTGGTCTCACACAAAGACAGATGGAGATGAGATAAGAACCAAGTAGCGCAGCTTATATTATCAATGTCACTTAATACAAAGAGTATCACGAGTTCCAGAGTTCAGTGCCAACAAGAGGTAAGTCTCCCTCGACATTAAACAGTGTGGAACCTGGCTCAGCCGGCGTTCTCCTTCAGATCACAAGTGTGGCGCCAACAGGTAAGTGTCCACCATATCCAGACTCACTCCCTGTCTTCTCTCTCTCTCCTGAACTCTGTCTTGGTTCTCTTCCCTTCACTTTGCATGCACACTCTCACCTACGAAGATCTACTCTGAATGTAACTCATTGATATCCCATTACTAACTATCCCTTCTACTACTAACATAGACTGGCGCAGCTATGGCTTCCCTGCAGCCAGCGCCCAGCCTCCCTTCTTCCTGGCGCAGCTCTTCTTCAGCCAGCGCCTCTCCAGCACTATAGCGCACAAGTGCCTCAGCACTTCCACGCATCAATGCCTATGGGAATCTCCCTGTGGGGGAGGCTGCCTCGTTTCTTATAGTGCTGGCCTCCCCTGGCGAGGTCTGAATTCTGCTTGTCCTGGTCCTTTCCCAGTCCCAGCCTCTGTGTATATGTCCCAGATCCCTTTCCTTCAGGGGTTGCTGCTGCTGCGGCCTTCAGGCCTTGATTTCGGACTCCCAATCTGAATCTAGACTTTCTCCCTGACTCGAATCTGGACTGGAACTTAACTCTTCGACTTCTGCTGGACAGACACACCTAATGCACGAACAGACACTCTTTCTGCACGAACAGACACATTGACTGTACGTACAGACACATCCATTGTCTGAGTAGACACAAATTGCATTGCCTCTGGCGAACAGATGTGACCCACAAATCCAAACATGATGACTGTTCGTCCAGGGCTCAACCATGACCTTTGACATTGTCTTTACTTTAGCCAGGATGTGACCTTTGACTCAGAGAACATGTCTCTTGATCTGCTTTCACGAATTGGGCTCTGAGCGAGGGACCCCAATATGCTGATTTCGTCGATCAGGGGCTGAATTGGGTAAAGGCCCTTTTAATATATATACAGGGTTACCTGACCGAACGTTCAGGGGCCCCCGGGCTGGCCCCTGAACGTTCAGGCGTTCGGGGTCCCGTTCGGGGGCCGAACACCTCCAGGTTCGGCCCCCGCCCAAAAAAATTTCGGGGCCTAAAAATAAGTTTTTTTTTCTGAATTGTTTTTCGTGAGTTCTCTATGATGTAACCTACACGCCTATTAATTTTGAAGCCATTCTGCGAGGCCAAAAAAACATTAAAAATCGTCAAAGATGGGGGTGTCAAAACGTGCTCGCCCACTCACTATTTTGTTTTTTTTTACTTTTAACTTTTTGTTTTCACTTTATTTCGGGGCCTAAACAATTTTATTATTTTTTGAAAAAAATTGAATGAGTTATTGATTATGTAAACTAAATCTCTGTAAATTTTCAGGGAATTTGTCAATGCCAAAAAATAATTAAAAATCGGCAAAGATGGCGGTGTCGAAAAGTTGCTGGCGCACTCACTCATTTTAATTCTCTTTTTATTTTTTCTTATTTTTATCATAGTGCTTATTTTCTGTATTTGATTTTTAATTCAAATTTGGTAAAGAATTTGGATGTAGTGCCCAGGCAAATGTTGTTTAGTTTATTTTTCTCCATAACATTTGTTTTTTTCGGAATTTTTTTGAAAACTTTGTTTTTTTTTGTTTTTTTTTTGGTACGCGTTCGGCCCGAACGGCCGAACGCCTTCCGAAGGGGTCCCGTACGTTCGGGCGTTCGGCCTGTCCTGAACGTCGGCAACCC